CTCTCTATTAGGTTGTTCTTCTTTTTCCAATTCGATGAATTCGTCAATTTCTTTAGTTGTTTTGAAAACCATTTCATCTAACCTTATTTCGGATTTTGGTTTAAATAGTGATATTGCTTTTGCATTTCTTCTATATCCTGAGGCTGTTGTAGAAGTAGGTTGTGTAGATATCAAAGGTATAGTCCCCCTGAATACACGAGATATGAGTTTTTTAATTTCATCATCCTCACCACCGGAATTTACTTTTTTTAAGATTATTTCCATTAGATCTTTACCGATTTCCATACTATTATTTTCATGATAATTTAAAATTGATATTAAAAATAGTTTATAATAATATTTATAAATTATTTTCTCTATTAAACTATTATTTATTTCATATTTATAATTATCATTGCTATTGCAAGTGAGTAAATAATCGAATATTGCTGGAGTGTTTATGTTTATACAGTATGATAATAAATCATCAATTTGTTCAATTATAATATTATTTTTATTTAAAATGATATCAAGTAGTTTATAATTTTGTTGTAGTTGTTGTTCTTTTTCTTGTTGGTCTTTTTCTTTTTGACTAATGCTATTATCAATGATTCTAAATAAATCTTTTATTGAAGCTGGTGTTGTTGAAATGAATTCATTTGCCTCTAATTTACATATTAATAGTGGTATTTGATTTTTTTTTACGATCCAATCTAATGAATGAATATATCTAAATTTAAGTCTACTATTTAAATTATTATAACTTTGAAAATTATATATTATTTTATCTTGACATTGATTATAAATTTGAAAAAAAATATTTGATAAAATAAATTTATTATGAAAAACTAACCAAAATAAATTTTCAAATCTATTATTAAGATTACAATCCTCACTATTATCTTTGAAATGCATTCTGCTATCAAAGGAAATGAGTTTTGTGTGAATTTATTTTTAAAATTGTGGTTATAAAAAAATTTATTTTCTTATTTTTTTTTCAAATTGAAAAAAAAATTGAAATTTTTTTTTTTAATTAAAATTTATTTATTTTTTTTTTTTTTTTTTTATTAAACAAAACAATAATTTTAATTTTTTAATTTTTAAAAATAATATTATTTATTAGTTAAATTTTTTAAAATATTTTTTTTATTTAATTCTTCTAAAAATTGCTTAATTTGTTGGGTAGTAGTCGGGTGTCGGATTTTTTAATGAGTTTTGAAATCGAAATCATAATTAGGGTACCTAAAACTTTTAATTCGTTTTGTATGTTGCTAAAAATTTAAAACTATCCAGCTGTTGGCCTGCTGATAATATTTGGGTGTCATTCTTCTCTTTTTGCAATTCAACCACCTTATTACAATACCACTTGTGAATTTTTTGTCTCTTGATTCACACCAATGTAATAAAAATATTTTTTTTTTTAATTTATTAATATATTTTTTTTTATTATTACTATTGATAATTTATTTGGGCATAAACTTTGTGGAAAGAAAAGTTAAAATATAAAAAAATGAAAAATAAAATTTATGACGAAAAATTAAAGGAAAAAAAAAAAAAATATTTGATGTTTCTTATTCAACCTCAAAATTAAATTTGTAATCGACACAATTTCCTAAATATCTATACATTGATTGAATATATTTTTAAAAAATCAATGCAGTAAAAAAAATTTAAAAAAATTGGATTTGCGTCGAATAAAAAAAGGTGGCATAAAAAAAAAAAAAAAACAGATTGAATTTTTTTTTTTTTGTACAACAACCTACGTCACAATTAAAAAATAGATGTGTTTGGTTTGCTTTGTTGTTATCAAACCAACACAAAAAAAAAGACAATCTTATTTAATTAAGTTTTTTAAAATAATTAAATTAGCACTAATTATTGGAAAAAAAGGTATGAAATTAAAATTCTTTAACCAAAAAAAAAAAAAAAAAAAAAAAACAAAAAAAAAAAAAGTTGAGTGATTTGAACACATTGCAATTTTTTTGATTTTCTTTCAAGTTTTCCTTGGTTTTTTTTCAATTGCAATTAAACTTTTTCCTTTTAATCATCTATTTTGAATAAATTATAAAGACAAAAAAAAAAAAATAAAAAAAAATAAAAATTAATTTTAATTATTGATTTATTTTTAGTTAAAAGTATTTATACCCCCCTTTGTTTTTTAAAAAAAATATTTTAAATTGGTTTTTTTGTTTATCATTATAATAATATACATATAAATTTATATTTATATTTAATAGTTATTAATAATGAAAGTTTTATTATTTATTTTTGCTTTAATTTATTTATCGTCATTTTGCTTATTAAATAATGTTGTTTCTGGTGCCAATCTAAAAGAGACTTCCATTGATATTTCCGCACATGTTTTACCAGACATTTCAAAGTCCCAATGGGCTTGTTTAAAGAACACCGGTAATAGTAAGGTCATTATTGAAGCCTGGTCTGAAAATAATGGTTACAATCAAGCCCTTAAAGATGCATACCATTTGGCCATAAGAAACGACTTAAAGGTCGATGTATATGCCTCCTTTTGTCAAAAAAATTGCGATAACTCTTCACCAAGTATTTCCATGAAGACTTTAATTTATAATTTAAATATTGAAAATATTAAATTTGAAAAATTGTGGATAGGTAAGTTGAAATTATTTACTTTATAAATTTAATATCAATCATTAGCCATATTAATATTCTTTTTTTTATTTCATTCTTTTATGTTTTATTTTCCCTTTTTTTTTAATTTTAAATTTTTAAATTGTTTTTTTTACATTTTTAAAATTTAAACTTTATAGAAATTGAAAGATCAAGTAGTGATCTCAGTAAAGGTGACCAAAGAAGCAATGCTAATTTTATTTTGGATGCTATTGATGTTGCTGAACAATTAAATGTTCAAGTCGGTATTTACTCTTCAAAAAAAGATTGGGAAAGTGTTGTAGGTTCATTGTCATCTCTTCATAACTACCCATTATGGGCTAAACAATCCAAGAAATCTGTCAGTTTTGGTGGATGGACTTATCCAACATTAGTCCAAGATTTCAAAAATATTAAACAATGTGGTGTTTTAGGTAATTTTATCTTTATATTTTATTACTATTTTATTTAATATTTATTAATAATTTTTTAAATTTTAAAATATTTTAAAATACAATAGTAAATATCAATTCAAACCATATACCATCAGATACTTATCATACTCCAAATCACACCATTAGTCCAAATCATACCATTAGTCCAAATTCAACTAATCCACCAAATAATGGATCATCTGATTCTTTCTCTTATGACAGTAACTCATATAACTACAACGCTAGCTCTGACTCATATAACTATACCAGCTCTGATTCTTACAATTACACCAGCTCTGACTCTTATAACTATACAAGCTCTGACTCCTATAATTACACAAGCTCTGACTCTTATAATTATACCAGTTCTGACTCTTATAACTATACCAGTTCTGATTCATACAACTATACCAGCTCTGACTCTTATAATTATACAAGCTCTGATTCTTATAACTATACCAGCTCTGACTCATACAACTACACCAGCTCCGACTCTTATAATTATACAAGCTCTGATTCTTACACCAGCTCTGACTCATACAACTATACCAGCTCTGACTCATATAATTACACAAGCTCTGACTCATATAACTATACCAGCTCTGACTCATATAACTATACTAGTTCTGATTCTTACAACTATACTAGCTCTGACTCTTATAACTATACTAGCTCTGATTCTTATAATTATACCAGCTCTGACTCATATAATTATACTAGCTCTGACTCATATAACTATACTAGCTCTGACTCTTATAATTATACTAGCTCTGACTCTTATAATTATACCAGCTCTGACTCATACAACTATACTAGCTCTGACTCTTATAATTATACTAGCTCTGACTCATATAACTATACTAGCTCTGACTCATATAACTACACAAGCTCTGACTCTTATAATTATACCAGCTCTGACTCATATAACTATACTAGCTCTGACTCTTATAATTACACCAGTTCTGACTCCTATAACTATACCAGCTCTGACTCATACAACTATACCAGCTCTGACTCTTATAATTATACCAGCTCTGACTCTTATAACTATACTAGCTCTGACTCCTACAATTACACCAGCTCTGACTCTTATAATTATACCAGCTCTGACTCTTATAACTATACTAGCTCTGACTCTTATAATTACACCAGCTCTGACTCTTATAACTATACTAGCTCTGACTCTTATAATTATACCAGCTCTGACTCCTATAACTATACCAGCTCTGATTCATACAACTACACTAGTTCTGACTCTTATAATAATACTAGCTCTGATTCTTACAACTACACCAGCTCTGATTCCTCCAATAGCCCAAATATAACAAGTTCTGAAAATCTCACACCATCAAACCAAGTTAAAGAAATAGATATCAATAATAATAATAAAAACAACCACAATAACAATAACAAAAATAATAGTAATGGAGGAAAACAACCAAAAGAAAACTATAACAAAATAATCAACAAAAACAGATCGGGCAAAAATAGAAATTAAAAAAAAAAATTTTTGCAAATCTATTTAATTTTCATTTTTAATTTATTCAATTTTACAAAAAATTAAATAAATAAAAAAAGAATTTTCACTTAAAATTTTATATGAAAATTAATTATTTCTATATTTATATAAATAGGTATTTATTACCATAAAAAATAAAAATAAAAAATAAAAAAAATTAAATTAAAAAAAAAAAAAAAAAAAAAAAAACGAAAAATTTTTTTTTTCATATTTTATTAATTTTTTTTTTAAATTTTCATAAATACTTTTTTTTTTTATTTTTAATATACATCTTTCACACATAGATATTTAGATATACAGGCACACACACAAACACATACACTAATACATACACATCCTTTTAAAGTAAACAAAAAAAAATGAAAGAAGTTATATCAAAAAATGAAAAGGATTTTATTTTATCAAGTATCGACAAATATACAAGAATTGATGGTCGTTCCATCACAGATATGAGATCAATTAAAATTGAATTTGGTAAATCATTTGGTTTAGTAGAGGTACAATTAGGTAAAACAAGGTAATAATATTTTACAACAAATTCAATATAGTATATTAAAAAAATAAAATTAACTTTACTAATATTGATATTATTATTTTATAGAGTTTATACATCAATTACATGCGATATAGTAGAACCAAAACCAGAAAGACCAAATGAAGGATTTTATGTTTTTAATACAGATATATCACCAATGTCAAGTGTATCAGTTGATCCAAATAGAGGTAATCCATTAGAGAATGAATTAGGACGTATTATTGAAAAAGGATTAAAAGAAAGTAGAGCAATCGATACCGAATCACTATGTATTATATCAGGATCCAAAGTTTGGTCCATCAAAATCTCAATTCATATATTGGATGATTGTGGTAATTTATTGGATTGTGCGAGTATTTCAGTTATTGCAGCATTACTTCATTTTAGAAAACCAGATGTTACAGTTATAGGTAATGAAGCAACCATTCATCCAATTGATGAACGTGAACCTGTACCACTTTCAATTCATCATACTCCAATTTCAATCACCTTTGGTTTTTTCCCAAATGAAATTATGATTGTAGATCCAGACAATAAAGAAGAATCAGTTATGGATGGTAAATTATCATTCCTTGTAAATATACATAAAGAAATTTGCGGTGTTTCAAAAGGTGGTGGTACAAGTACCTCTGTTCACCAAGTTTTAAAATGTTCCAAAATCGCTGTTATTAAAGCTGCTGAAATTACATTACAAATTAAAGAATCAATTATAAATGATATCAAAACAAGACAATCATCAATAAATAATAATAAAAGAAATGGTAGTGGTTTTAGAAATAATAATAGTAAAAATTTAGAAATGGTTGAACATAATAAATAAAATTAAAATAAAAAATTAAAAATTATCCTAAAAAATATTCAATATATTTTTAAATTTCCAAATATTATGTTTAAACATTGTTTTTTCATTCAAAAATTAAACAATTTAAATTTTGAATTTATTTAAAAAGAAAATTTTTTGAACATTAAAATCACACACATCAAATTTGTAAAAAAAAAAAAAAATTTTAAAAATTGAAAATTTTTTATTTTTTTTTATTTTTTCTTTTTTTTTTTTTTTTTTTTTAAAAATATAATTTCAATTTCATAATATCATATACATAATATATAAAAATGTTTTTAGAAAACGAAGCATTCCTTACTGCATTAAATAAATTATACCAAACCTCAACCAAAAAAGGAACAGTTTGGACAACAATGAAGAGATGTATATATCAATCATAATCATAATCATAATCATAATCATAATCATAATCATAATCATAATCATAATCATAATCATAATCATAATCATAACTATAATTATAATATTAAACCACTCACACACACAAAAATAACCCTGGATAATATTCAATTAAATAAAAGAAAATGATGAAATTATATTAAATTTATTAATATTTTTAATACAATATAGATGTTGATTCAGATTCAAACTTTCAAAAGAAAAAAGCAGATAGAATTAATCCAGAAACTACAGAAGAAGAAATTAAATGTTTAGTAAGATCAACCAATGGAAAAAAGAAAATTTCGACAATAGTTTTACTTAAAGATATTCCAAGTTTTGAAAAGAGTTATAAAAATGTTTTACTTTTAAATTTAGATAATCTTAAAGCTGTACCAAAAGAAAAAAAGAAACAAATAAATACTCAAGTTACCGCTGCTACAAAGAAAAAAACAAATTAAATTATTTATATAATTATAAAATAAAAATAAAAAATAAAAAAATAAAAAAAAAACATGTTATAATATATACAAAAAAAAAAAAGATAGCTATAACAGCAAAATAACAAATATTGTGTTTATTTATAAAAGAACATTTGTTTATTTAATTTTAAATTTTTAGGTTTTTAGGTTTTTGGCAGAGGGATTATATGATGAGGGATAATGGAGATGGTATTTTTATACAATTCTTTCTAATTCTTTAGCATAATGGAGGGTTTGATGAATTAATTGTAATGATGGGATGTCAACTGCTTGGTTGTCAGTATTTCCAAAAGTAATAGTATCACCTTGAACTTTCCAATTTCTATCCTTAATATATTGTTGGAATTGACTGGTATTATTAAATAATAAAACTTTTTCAGCATCTTTTAATGATAGTGTTTTAAATGATTTTTCACTACAATTGGCAATATCCTCTCTATTAAAAATGTAAAGAAATAAAAATAAAATTATAAAGCGTGTGTTAATAATATACTAATTTATATGTAATAAATATTTAATAAATTAAAATAAAACCTACTTGATTGAATCTACTAAAATATCGCAAAAAATTTGATAATATTCTGATGGAACATCAGTTTTTGAATGAACAACTTTATTGTAACTACCTTCAGTAATTGATTTTTCAATAACTAATGGGAATCTAAATATGCATAAAATAAATAAATGGTTAGTAAATAATGAAATTAATAGGTTTTTTAATAATAATAATAATAATAAAACCATTACTTTATAAAAACATTATTTAAATTATCTACTGAAATTAATTCTAATTCGCTGTGGAATTCTGAAGTTTTATGTTGAGCTAACAATCTCATTAAATTTAAACCAATAATTTGGAACTCAAGTTGTGATGCTGGAATAATAGATTTATAATCATAATAGTATGGTCTTAATTGATTGAAAGATCTTTCGAAAGAATCAATTTCTTTAATTTTAATTGAATAAAGTGAGATTAATTCTAAAATTTCTCCTATAATTAATGATAAAATAAATATTATTGATTATTAGTATTTTTCAATGATATATATTTAAACTCTATACATGTAATGTATCCCCATAATGATATTTACTTGCTAAAACTAAATCTTTTAAAACTTTATCTGATACATTTGTTGTACTTGTTGGTTTCTCTAAATAAATGGTAGCTGCTAATTTTAATGGTCCTAATTGTTGAGCAATTGTATTTTTATCACCATTACTTTCAACAAGCTTTTTGAAATTATTTAAATGTGAAGCAATAGTATTATAGTCCATTATTTATTTATATTATATTTATATATTAAAAAAATTGATTAAAATGAGAAAAAAAATTAAAAAATTAAAAAATTAAAAAAATTATTAAAAAAAAAAAAAAATAATAATTAAAAAAAAAATTATAACTTCAAAAAAAAAAATTAAAAAAAAAAATTAAAAAAATTAAAAAAAAATAATTTATAAAAAAAAAAAATTAAAAAAAAAAACCAAGCAAGTTCACAATTTAGTTTATTATTTTTAAATAAAAAATTTCTATATTTATAAATGAATAATAGATATAAATATATAATATTTTGGAACAATATAAAAATGATTGACATTAAACTTTTAATTTATTTTTTTAAACTGTATTTATTTTTTATTTATTTATTTATTTATTTATTTTTCTTTGATTTAATCATAACAAGACCTAAAAATGTTCCAATTGCAGTAATACCAACAACTACTAAAACTAATGGAATAATAATACCATATTCTCTTGGTAAAAAGTATTGTTGAATCCAATGATCGCTGACAATGAATGGCTGATAAAATAATTTTGAAAAAATAAGTTTATTAATAAATCTAATTTTTAAACAAAATCTATATTATAAATTAATGATACTTACTGTAACAATAACCCACATAGTATAATATGCAAAAACAAAAATACTGAATAAAAGCATAACAAAACCTATAAATTTATCTGAAACACCCTAACAAAAAATAAAAATAAAAAAGTTAATATAAACTCTTTCGATTGGTAAATTCTTAAACAAATTTATAATTGATAAGTAGAGTTGGACCTATTATTTATTTTATTATTATTAGCTGTTGAATTGATTATTTGTTTATTATATTTCTTTCTGTATTATCCATACTATATATTATTTATATTACTATTACTTCTGTCATTATTACCAATACTGATTAAAATCATTATTAAAAACATTATTAAACATTATTATTTTTATTCATTTTATTTATTAATTTAATGATTTTATTCCTTTTATGCCTTTTATTTATTAATCTAACGATTTTATTTTAATTAAATATATAGTCTATATTTTATTAATTTATTGATATCCAAAAGTTTAACTGTTGTTAATATTGGTTGTGTAAAGTTTATTTGAGGTCTATATTTGAAATATTATATAGTTTATATTCATATATTGAAATATATGGTTTATGAATAACCATAATTGTTATTTGTTAATTCATACCATTTTATTTAAAATTTATATTTGATATTTAGTGTGAAGTTTTAATTTTCTTTTATAATATTATATATATACAAAAATAATCTTTTATTTAATTTAAACCAATTAAAATTTAAATTTTAAAATAGATTTGATATGATTGTAAAATCAAATTTGAAAATAAATGAAAAAATTTAAAAAAAAATGAAAAAAAAAAAAAAATTAAAAAATTAAAAAATTAAAAAAAAAATTAAAAATAATTTATTTTATTTATTTCTTTAATTCGTGTATATACGCTACTTATAAAACTATCTAAATTACCCTAAAAAATGAAAGTAAAATTAAATAACCTTAAAACTTTTTACAATTTAAAATAAATAAAAAATAAAATAAAATAAAATAAATAAAATAAATTAAAAATAACAAAATAAAAATAAAAATAAATATTTATACAATAATATTCAATATTTAATATTTATATATTTATAAATTTATAATAAATAATATCATAAATTATTTTGGGTATTTCAAAAAAATTTTAATATAGGAGACATGCAGTAACAATTTTTTCGATATCGTAAAATTTTTTTTTTAAAAAAATTATTTAAAATTTTTTTAAAAATTTTTTTTTATAAAAAACGACAAAAGAGAAATTTTTTTTTTTTTTATCTTAGTTGTTTTACAGTACGTTTAAAAATGGGTATGTGAGAGAATCTATAACTATGAAGGATTTACATATTATGGTGTATTATGATGAAAGATTAACTATTTTTCAAAGATAAATAAAGATAAATAAGATAGATAAAAAATTATTTAATATTATTATCAATTATCTCAATAATCATCATAATCTTTATCAATCCATTATCTAATATCCAATATCAACATCAATCTAACATAAAATCATTATTATTATTATTATTATCATTTTAAAATATAAAGGTGCCTACAAATACCTCCAAGAATTATACAAAAAGAAGCAATCTGATGCTATTCGTTTCCTCTTAAGAGTCAGATGTTGGGAATACAGAAATCTCCCAGTCTGTCACCGTGCTTCACACCCAACCCGTGTCGACAAAGCCAGACGTTTAGGTTACAAAGCTACTCAAGGTTTCGTCGTCTACAGAATCCGTGTCAGACGTGGTGGTCGTAAGAGACAAGTTCCAGGTGGTCGTACTGGTGGTAAACCAAAGACTCATGGTGTCAACGAATTAAAACCAACCAGAAACTTAAGATCAGTTGCTGAAGAACGTGTCGGTCGTAGATGTCCAAATCTCCGTGTTCTCAATTCATACTGGGTCAATCAAGATTCAACCTACAAATACTATGAAGTCATCTTAGTTGATTACTCACACGCTGCTATCCGTAACGACCCACGTTACAACTGGATTGTCTCACCAGTCCACAAACACAGAGAACTCCGTGGTTTAACCTCAGCTGGTATTAAAGCCCGTGGTCTCAGACGTAAAGGTACCCACAGAGCTAGCAAGACTAGACCATCAAGACAAGCTAACTACAAACGTAGAAACACCGTTGTCTTCAGAAGATACAGATAAACAAATTAATAAACTTTTTATTGATATTTTCATTAAAAAAAAAAACAGATAAATCTTTTATTTATTATTTTTATTATTTTTATTTTTTTAAAAAATATTTGGTATTTCATTTTTGATGACAATAAAATCAACCTTCACCAACTAGTTTAGCAACCCAAATCATTCAATAAGGACTAAAAAAAATTTTAAATATTGCACAAATTTATTAATAAAGTCAACACCAGAGTTTACAAACATGTTTCTATAACCGGCCATTTCAAATTTACTCTTTACCTCAATCATTGACACTATTATATTTATATGGATATTATTCACCTAATGTTTTTCAAATATTTATATAACCATATTTTAAAACCATCCAATTCTACCTCTTTTCTGCCCTCTCTTGTAAAAATTATATTTGTTTTAAGTTTCAAACAGTTAATAGACTCCATCATCAAGGAAAATATAAATTTAAAAGTTTTGTTTTTAGATAACCTTTAAATTTCCATTACTGCAAATAGAGACAGCATAAAAATTTTAAATCTAAAAATAACCTCCAAATAGAATCAATTTTTTTACCAATCGTTCAAGCAATTTTCAATATTATATTTTTAGAATTAACTTTTTTTTTTATGTTGCTATAAATAAAATTTTTTTTTATGTCGCCATAAATAAAATCTCTTTAAATCTTTAATGTAAAAAAAATTTGGGGTTAATAAAAAACAAAAAAAAAAAAAGTTAAATTATAAATAGGTATAAAAAAACAAAAAAGATATATTGAATGGGTATAAAAAAAAAATTTATATAAAAAAAAAAAATTGTGACTTCACAAAAAACAAAACAGGGTAATTTGTAAATAGGAATAAAACTTTTATTTTTTTTAATATTAAAAAAAATTAAAATTGGGGGTTAACAAAAAACAAAAAAAACATAATTATGTTTTGTCGGTTTGAATAAAAAAACAAAACAGGGTAATTTGTAAATTGGTTGAATAAATTTTTTTTTTTTAATATAAAAAAAATAAAAAGTTTCATCCAATAAATTGTATAAATAGTTTATTGGTTTTCATTTTTTTTATTAAATAAATAAATAAAAGATAGAAACAAATAAAAAATGGCCTCAGTAATGGATGTATGCAGAAAAATTGAAAAAGATGTTGTATGTATATAAATAATAGTTTTATTTATTTTTTAAATTTAATTTGATTAAAATAATATATCTAACCAAAATATTATATATTTATAGGATGACATGTTACAAAAATATGACAAAGATGGAGACAAAAGTTTAACTCGTAGTGAAGTTGTTGAATACTTTTCTAAAACTGATCCAAAAATGGCAAAAATCAACGCTGTAATGATCTTCAAATTATTAGATCACAACAGAGGTAACAACATAATATATTTATTTATTATTTAAAAAATTAAAAAATGTTAATAAAATTTTAATTTGTAATTGCAGATGACACTATTTCAATTAATGAAATTAGAAAACATGCCACTAAATTAAATAAAAAGAATTTAGAAGCTGCTATTAGCCGTGAAGTAAACCAAATTTTAGAAACTCATGACAAAAATGGAGACCAAAAAATCACACTTGATGAAATGGTTCAAAGCTTGATGAAAACTTCAAATTTGGATAAAGAAAGTAAGTGTTCAAATTTATAATTTAATTAATTAAATATTATAAAACTAACAAATATTTTATTTATTAGCTGCTAGAGAAACTGCTGAATTTTATTTCAGTGAAATTGATGGTGATAAAGATAATGTCATGACTGTTGCTGAGCTTAGAAAAGTAAGTAATGAAATATTATATTATAGTTTATACTTTGAAAATATTAATTTAATTTTTTTAATTTTTTATTACTTTTAGTATTACGGCTCCTTAGCAAATCCACAACAATAGTTGATTGTTTTTCTATGAAACAAAAATCACTTTTAAGGTGATATAATTACTATTAATTAATTAATAAAAAGCATAAAAAATACAAAAAGGTATATTAATAGTTTAAAAAAATTTTATTTTATTTTTTATTTTAATGATGGAGGCTATCTTTCGATTGGGATGCGGATGAAGAAATCTTTTATGAAAAAACTATTCTTAGTTTGTTTTTAACAGCATTTGATTTAAGAATCCTTGAATTTCGGTTGCTGAGTTTGGAATTTACCCTGTTTCTCTAAATACATTATAATGGATAGTTTTAAAGGAAATTTTAAATTTCTTTTTTCTTTTCGTCTTCTTTAATTTGGTCATTAAATTTTGAAAGGTATAATCTAAATACATTTTTATCATATTTTAAACCTTTTTCAAAAAATGAATGATATTATTTATTTTCTCTTTTTTGACCTCCTCTTGGGTAAGAGTTGCCAGTACTACTGCTAATATCATTTTTTTGTTATTCTATATTAGATTGAGTTTTTTTTTCTAAATATTTTTCATTTGATGGATATTCTTTTTTTCTTTTTTCTATAAACAATAAATTAAATAATTATTATTAATAATGGAAAAAAAATATAGGTATATTATGAAAATCTGAATGCATTTTAAATTTATTAATTGCCTCAAAAAAATATTATTTATTTGATGAGTGAAACCATTGGAATTAATAAAATATTACTATTTGTTCCAGTAATTTTCAACATAATACTTTAAGAATTATCAATAAAAAGACAATGAGTTTGTTTTATCAAATCTTATTACCATTCAAAAACAACAACGGCCATCATCACTCGATTCATCATTAACTCCATCTGCCTCATCAGGCAATAATAAAATTTAAAATATAAATTCGCATTGAAAATTATTTTCTATGGAAAATACTTTTGATTTATTAAGTGGTAATATAGGTAGTATTAAAATAGTAAATAGAATGAAAAAAAAATTTATTTACAAAATTGTTTTTTAAAAATTAAATAAAAGATTTTTAATAATTGTTTATTAATATTAATTTTTTTTTTTATTTTTTATTTTTTATTATTTTTTTTTATTTTTTTATTTTTTTTTACAATTTACTATATAATATATAAATTGGTTAATTGGGTTTTAGCTATTTACAATTATTAACACAGTTTATATATTATTTGGTGAGGGACCTGTATAATTTATAAGGAACCTGAACCAACACGTAAATCTAAGGTTTTTTCTCTTTGCTTTTCTCTATTAAAAATAAAATTATTATTAATATTGGTTTTTTCTATTATCTTTAAAATATATTTTAAACTTACAATATTTCATCGTCATATTTATTTCTTTCAAAAGATGGGTATTTCCATTCTGGGAAGAAGGTTGAGGCACCGGTGTATGGTGATTGGTTTTCTACTTTATTACCATGGACACCGATATTGATAGAGCTGGCTAAATTTTCTTCATTGAAACTTGGTGACTTTCTCATTGGAGTACCTCTAAGATGACCTCTAATTTTGGTTCTTTCTTCTAGACCTTGGTTCTTTAAAGTATCATTTCCCAATACATCACCCCACCAGGTCTTCCATTCAGCTTTCCACAATCCCCATTTATCTTCTGGGGTATTAATTGGAACTGGACTACTTTTAGCTTCCATTGTTTATTATTGTTGTTATTTTTTTTAATGTTACTATTAAAAAGAGATTAAAAAATTTTATTTGTTTTTTTTAATAATATTAGTATTAATTATAGTTATAATTATTATTGGTTTTATTGTAAGTGTTTCTAATTTTTTTTTAATTGAATTAAAGTAATTTAATTTTTATATAACAAAAATAAAAAAAATTATTTTCAATTTATAATAATTTAAAAAATTTAAAAAAAAAAACAAATTAAATTAAAAAAAAATATTTAATTAAATTTATAAATACCTTTATTAAAATTCTAGAATGAGAGGAACTAAATTTCTTTTAAATTTTATAAAAAAAATTGTAAAAGAAAATTATTGAAAAAAAAAAAAATATAAAGATATATTTATAGAAAATAAAAATAAAAAGAAAAAAATAAAAAAAAAAAATAAAATAAAAATTAAATTAAAAAAAAATATTTATTATATAAAAAAGGAACTATTCAAATCTTCTATCTTATTTTGTAATATTCGACAAAATTAATTAAAATTTAAATAAAAAAAAAATAAAAAAAAAAAAAAACAAATATAAAAAAAATCGATTCAAAATGTAAATGCACAAATTATTTTGGTACCAATATCATTTCTTAATATTAAGTGTATTTGTCAAAGTTTTGTGTGCTGTTGTTGTTTTAATATTTTTGATGTGTGGGATGAATAAGATAAAAATTAGTGGGGGTAAATGTAGTTATAATTTTAAAAAAAATTGATAGTATCAACAAATAAAAAAAAAAAGAAAGTAAAAAAAAAAAAACAACAAAAAACCCCCAACAAACTATTTTTAGAAATCTAAATCATACAAACAAAAAGGAGTTTTTTTTTTTTTTTTTTTTTGCTAAATTTACATATTAAATTCACACAATTGTATGAATAGGATAAGAAAGAGTTTTATTGAATATGATTCTACTTTCTTTGTGAAAGTATATATGTAATCACATATACAAAATTTGGGGAGTAGGAGTGGGGGGTGTTAGGGATTTGGGGAGGTTTTACCAATATTTTTTTTTTTTTCTTTTTTTTTTTTTTTTTTGTATTTATATTTATATTATTTATTTTTTGGCTGGTGCGTCTGCTTTGAGTGGTTTACCAACATCTTTACCTCTCTGTTAAATTTTTTTAAAAAAAAAAAAAGTGTATTAGTATTTTGAAAATTTTTAAAATATATTAAAATTGTATGTGATTGTTTGAATGGTTGAAACGCATTATTAATTAAATGATTAATGCTTGAATAATAATTATGTGTTATATGATTGTTTTAAACTTACCAATTTGACATTTAAAGCTTTTTCTAATTTAGCAAGAATTGGTTGACTTGGAATAGCAGTACCATTTTCATAATCATTAATAACACTTGGTCTTTCATTGACTTTGAAGGCTAAGTCTTTTTGGGTCATTTTAAGGTCATTTCTAGCTTTTGAAATAGCTTTTGGAACTGAAGCTTTTAATTCTGGGACTATTATTATAAAAAATGAATTATATAAAAATTAGAAACTTCTTATCTATATATTTATAATGAAATATATATATATGTATGTACTTACGAGCAGCATCTTCATCAGCTTCTTCAATTTTTTTTTGGTTTACACCATTTAAAATTTTGTTTGTACCAGCACCGTCTTTGAAAAAAAAAAAAAATTAGTATTATGATTTTACATTTTTTTAATTTTATTTTTTAAATTAAAACATTGGAGGTTTAAATATCTATTCATACATCTTTT